CGTTGAATCTAGACACCGTTTAGAGTGCGGTCCGGCGACTCGGTAAAGATGTCGCTGGTCTGCCGCTGGCGTGGCCTAAGAAGAGGGGAGGAGCCTGGGAGAGGGGAGGGGGAGGGGCTATTGCGGAGCGCCAATGGCGAGGTGCGCGGAGGGGCGCGCGCCGGGAAGCAGGCACGGAGGCTGCGGGCTCCTATTTCAGTTGCTTTGTCGGAGTACAGATGGCGCTACGAGCGCGCTGTCGCGTGGAGTGGGGAAGAGAGGGCAGACGGGCGGCACCAAGGACGCGGACACCTCTTTGAGTTGCTCTGTCAGAGTAAAGATGGCGCTACGAGCGGCGCAGTGCGCTCGTGACGGTTGTGTGCCTTTGCGCTACGCGGTGAAACGGGCGCACGGTCGCACTAGCGACGCCGGCATGTTGTCGCAGCCCTGTCGTGACGGTTCTTGCGGCGCGCCGCCGTGTTTCGCTTGCTTTTGACGGCTCTGCGTTCGGTCGCGCGTCGTCACTCTCTGGGCGCGCTTATGGCGCTGGTCACTTGATGAACTCGCGCTCACTTTTCTGCGCGCTTTTAAACTGCAGATGACGGGGCTCTGTAGCGCTTTTGAGTGTACACATATGAAAGGTCTTGTGGAATTAATTCGGAATACGTAAAACAATCCCTGATTGATAGACAGTTTGACGTCTATTTTTAGGTTATTGGTTGTCGTATCAATACTGCTTTTCTTCTAGCAGTCTGCTAGCTGAAAGGCTCAAGACAAACAAAGACGACGCACTGGGTACTTGACCTCTCACTAAAGGAGATGAAAGCGAGGAACAGAAATAACTCTCGAACGGTTATTATTTTTGCATGAAAAAGCAATGCTTGTAAATTGTGAAGGCAAATGAATTTCCTCATCAGATATTCCTGCTTTCTTTTCACAAATTTCTTTTTTTTTCGTACGTTTGTTAGTTTGTGCACGGGTAATGTGACCCAAAATTGGAGCGAGCAAGCCCAAAGGCACTACGGCGCAAAGCAGCAGGGACTGGGTTAAAGAATTTTACATATATCCAATTTTTGGACTGCACAATTAGTTCACATCTCTCGCCCATCATCAAACAACTTCTCACTCAGTGTATCAATAACCTGAAAAAAAAAAAAAATACAGTAGAAATATTTCCACTTCTGTAGGTGATCAACCCAGTATAAAAGGCTCTGGATCAACCAATCGAGCGAGCACGGAAATAGAAACCGGAGCAGCTATCATCCAAGCATTTCAAACTTCGCAGTGTAGCAACTGCTGCCAGGCGAAAACAATAAAAATAAAGGAACAGCTGCACTGCGCGAAAAACTGGCTCCCACGCCACAGTGCCCGATTGGAATTTTTTTTTTTTTCGCGGTGGTGCTTAGATGCGTGTTCCCCACCAATACAAGCCTCGTCATCGTCCGTTCATTAGACCTAAGTTATAGAATTTATTGAGGTTTTTTGTGTCTTTTTTTTTGTTCCCGAAATACCTGTCAACGTGCTCTTGGCATTACTTGACTGCGCGCTGGGCAGGGGACGTCGCGGTGTTACAAAGTCCCTAGATAAGAGCTTCCTACTAGTTGCGACATTTCTTGAGGCGCTGACTGCGTGGCGGTGCAGTTTTAAGGAAGCGAATGGCGGCGCACAGCAGAAGACTGAACGGAATGGCGCCATTTTGTTCCAGTGGAATCTGCTTCGTCATTTGTATACATGCCTTGAACCTACGTCACATGACGACGTTGAACACCGGTAACACCCATGCTGGTGGTTGAGTCGATGGTGATTCGCGGCAAGAGCCTTGGGAAGTTGCGCCGCGCTCGGTTGTAGCAATTGCTAAGTGCCCCGCCCAGCGTTTCGTCGGCATGCCCCGCGACAGAGTAATCATCAAGTGAGAAAAAGTACGAGCAGCAGGAAAGGAATGCGGGCGCGCATTACTGAGTTTGCGGACGGATTTCATAGCGGCGAGCGACCGCACTTTTCTACCGTTGTTTACGTTGGTGCACACCTTTGCATCTGCTTTCTCCGTTCGTCCTGTAGATATCCTTGGCCTTTCGTTTCATCACGCCATTTCCACGCTTCAAGCGCACATTTGGGCTGTTTGCCCGGCCAGACGGCGATCGGTCAGCGGCGCCGCCGTGTGCACGCTCACAGAGACGCCGCCGCCGGGGCATCGGCTCGTGCCGTCTGCGACACGATAACCTTCGCAAAGAGCGAAAGTGTGCACGTGAGCTGCTTAGGAAATATAATTTAAACCTTGATACAAGGAGAGTCGTCTTGTTCAGTATTTTTTTTTCTCCTTTTTTCAGGGTTTAGATTATGACGGTAACCTTACTTTGCTTACCAGTACTTCGCAAGATCGTAAATGTTTTACTACAAGCGGCTCCTTGAGCCGTCCGTCACAATTAAAAGCGCGCAATGAAAAAAAAAAAATTTTTTTTGCCGACATGATGGTTTTTTTGCGTCAAAACTTCGTTGGCGGCATATGGAAACTTTTTGCTCATAGCGCAATCGCACCCACGCTAGCAGCCGCCTGCCGCTCCTTTTATAACGTCACATTTCTCCATATCGCTAGCAGGGAATCCCGATGGACAATGCCCCGGCCAAAGCAATAGGGCCATTGTCTCAACGTACAGCTATGCCTTTCCTTCTCCCTCAAACACCGCCATTCGCGTTAACCACACCCGCGCCGAGGGGCCAGACGTCCTTCGTCGCTGTGTCGCCATCGAAGTCCGGACGGAGGAAGAGGATAATCCATGCGGTAAGGGATAATCCCACAAACGCGCCAGAAGCTAGGAGAAGGCGGAATCTCTCCAAGGCTGTCGGGACGAACTTCGTCAGTCAACTCAATAATCCTTCGTTGGAGGCCACGTTGGCGACCCCAAGGCTCCTCTCGCTTTGCTTCCGGGCACAGCTGACCGGAGCCATCCGCATATTGTGTACTCTTGTCCCCGGCCACTTAATAAACGTATCCGGTATGGGCGACGAGAAAATAATAAAACGCTTCAACCTGTAAATAGTAAAAAAAAAAAAAAAAAAAAAAAAAAAAATAGAGGGGCGGCAAAACGAGAATGTGTGACGGCTACCACTTATATCCTAAATATATTATATTGGCGTGGCGACGGCAAAACAACGTTTTCGCCGATACTGGGGCGCGCCCTTGTGAAAAGTGTCTATACTCCATTTCACTAAAACCGTGCAGTACAGCCAAAGTTACAGGGGAGAGAGCATGTGCTAACCTGTTCACGAGGAGGGAACGGGGGACGGGATTCCCTCCTTCCCCCTTTCCCTCCTCTTGAACAGGTCAACTCTCTCCTGTAGCTTTGGCTGTACTGCACAGTTTTAGTGAGACGGGGTATAGTCACGCGATAACGCAGTGCATGCGCACTTAATAATACTACTAATAATACTATTAATAATATAATAATTATACATTTTTATTCATAGCAATAAACAAATACAAATACAGGTCTGCGTGAGCCAAGGGAGGCTTATGTTGCATGACCTTGCGGTACAGCCCATTCCTTGCAGAAATAGCAGGTAGCAACATAACTCACTAAATATCAACTGTAGATTTATCACTTGGTGATATCATGTAATAAATTTTTTCAGACTCTTTTTGAACCCATGGTTAGAATAAGTTATCTGGTAGCTCATTAAAAATCTTCGGCACGTAAAATTACCTAATGCTTTCCCCATAATGAGTATAGATACGAGGAATTTCAAAGCCGAGTAGTGTTCTAAATATACGTGGGGCCTAACTCTCAGTTTTAAAATCACTGCATCAAAAGTGACAAAAAACAACCGCCTGAATAAATAACGAATAGAAACAAGGCAATTTGAGTAAACTAAATAAGTTATCACCTGAGGTGTTTAAGTAACACTTTTCAACATCCCCCTCAGAATGCTATCAATTCTGGCGTGCCATTGTCGAAAGCAGTTAAAAAATAGAGTGACACCATACCTAAGGACACTACACCAAAGAGTGCATGAGCATTTTTCTACTTGCAAACAGAAGGTACACCTTTAGGTTATGGAGCTAACAAGATACACTTGCGACCAATCTCCGATAGAGGCGTCCGCTTTCAAACGGCAAACGCTCCCGATAGTTTGAGTTGGACCCTCTCTACAATCTAGGCTACAATCTAGGTAAACTCAGTTTTCCGAGGGACGTTTTCAGATTTCATTTGTTTATATGACTACTCTGGGCCCTGACTTGATGTGATAATGATAATTAAAACGACACCGCCCCGCCAACGTGCTCGCATTTTTTAAAATAGGAGAGCAAGTACACTGTCGTTCCCGTTGCTCAATTCACTCGCGAATTAACCAAGCTCGATATGTCTATATGAAAGAATCAGTTAATTTGGCAGTTCTTGCTTTCCCGAAGATTTTCATTACAACACCCATATACTTGTCTTTTCATGGCGATATATATATATAGATATATATATTTTTTAAGGCGAGAATCCCGAGCTCGTAGTTTTAACTTAGGCAGTTGCTCCTGCTGATCGAGAGTTCTCCGAGATGCATTTTTCAAGGAAGAGTTCACGCTTGCAGCTATAGTCGCGGGATCGTTGTACATTACAAAAAACTGGGAAGCAAAACATAAAGCGAAACAAAGGGCAAATGAACACAGATACGGTATATAGAAACGATGTGAAAAAGTTGAAAAAAGAGGGCCAATTTCCGAGCGAAAATGAATCGGCGAGATGAGATCACGATGGCGCAGGCCATTTCTAGTACTCGAGACATGGGAACCGGGACTCGTAGCCGGTTGCCTGCGGGCTGCGTCTCGGCGAGTCGCGGGCCGCATGCGGTCCGCGTGTTTGAGACCCGCTATCACGAACAATA